AACGTTTGGGCTGTGCGTCGAATCGACGGTGACTCACTTCAATTATAACCTCTAAAAATGTAATAAACGTTTGATTCATTGACTCAAAATTTTCCTTATTTCGAGAAAAAAACCACGTTTAATTAAAATGACAATTCAAACTTCCCTTACAATATTTACACCCACCAAAAAAACTTGTTTAAGGTGCACAACAACTCCTTTACACAAAATCATCTTGTCCACTAGTTCCTTTCCTTAGCTTTTCTTCCCCACCACAAGTCAAACCAAAAGAGAAAAGCACCCAATCATGTGGCCAAAAATACATGAATCAAAGCATCTTTCATTTTTAGGTTGAAAAAATCAATGTACAAAGAGGACCTCTCAAATAATGAAGTAAGAAACAAAAAATACAGCTCATAACCCCGTGGGCCTCATCATACTGTCCTACTTCGGCTTTTTCTTTACTCGTTATTTTTCAACCCCACGAAAATTTTGGCATCTTATTATTGTCTAATCGAGTACTAAATAGGTCCCACAAAATTTTTAATCTTAATCACAGCCAACCAATGATTTTTGTCCTTTTCATTCTTCTTTTGTGAACACATTGTTGCCATTATTATAGAATCGATACGAGATAAGATTTAAAAAGTTGAAACATAGACGGAACATAAATAATAATTATTAAACACTGCGAATATTTTTATTCAGGCATCATTAGAAAAGGGATCGATAACAAAGTATCGTGTCCGTTTAACCAAATCATTTACAAGATTATTAGACCCCACGACATGTATTGACGTCTAGAAAAATGAAGTGTAGTACACAAATCTCGTGGTCTATTATCAATCTAACCAAATTTAGCTCATGTTTGAACCATATTAAAATTCTCATTCTCATTCTTATACTCATTTTTAACTACACATTTTTCAATAAAATAATATTTTCTATCACATCAGTAATTTTTCCTTCTTTTTCAATCGCACATTCTCCATCAATTTTCAGACTCCTACAAATATATAACAGTAGAATACATGAAAGAGATTAGAGAAGACTTTTGAGAGCAGAAAAGAGACAAAAACGTGAAGATCAACTCTAGGAACACGAAAATCCAATTCAAGAACCGAATTTGCTACAATCCCAAAATACATTTTTTCAAAATAATGTGGCTCGAACACACGAATTCATGGATGGAAAAAAAATATTATTATTTTTTTAAAATTTGGCAACCCAATCCGCTAAATGAGGATGGGAAGTAGTCGTGGACGAGATTAGGTTCGTTGAAAATAATTGCACTAAATATGTACTATATAAAATTTGAAGTGGTCCACTTCCAACTGTGTACATATTATTGTGTTTTTTTTTGCTTCCATTTGACACTGACAAACTTGATCTAGAGGGATTGCTAAGAATCACGTGATCTTTTATTTTATTTATAATAGATGTTGGTATAATAATTAAAAAAGAATTAATGAGCATCAAGACAGGTTTTGAATGAATATACGTAATCTCTTTCTAATAAAATGAGAGAATAGATATATGGCCCCTATTTGGGCAACATTATTTTTTTCATTCTCATTCTTCTACTCATTTTTAACCACACATTCTTAAATAAAATAATATTTTTCATCACATTAATAACTTTTCCTTCTTTTTCAACCACATATTTCCCATTACATCAACAGTAAAAATACATTCTTACTTCCAAAATGTGCATCAAACAGAGTATTCAATTCACGTAAAAAAAACTAGGGTTCAAATCATGTTACCTTTTAAAAAATGTGCATTGATAAGACCTTGATAAAAAAAAAAAATTTAATTTACAAACTACATGTGAGGAGCTGTGTTGAAGTTCGAATTAATAAAAACAACATTTCAAATTCATTTTTAATTATACATTCTTTCAATAAAATAAGTTTGTATGTGAATTCATAATTTTTTCTTATTTTTTAATCATACATTCTGCAAAAAAATTTAATTTTTATAAAATTTAGCTCCTGTTTGGTACACATTATTTTTTTCATTCTCATTCTTCTACTTATTTTCAACCACACATTTTTCAATAAAATAATATTTTCCATCACATCAACAACTTTTCCTTCATTTTTAACCATATATTTTCTATCAATCTACTATTCAATAATACATTTTTTCAAAAGAATGTATCCCAAACACAGCCTATTCTAAAAAACTCTCTATCAAACAAGGATTAAATTTAACAATCGTAAAATGGTAAAAAGACCAATGGTCCTTGAACTTTAGTAAATTTTCATAAGGTCACTAACCTTTGTTTTGGTACGTTGGCATCTAAATTTAAACTTTAATATAATTAAGCCACATAACTTAATGTTTATCGCAATTTTGTCACTCCATCCATATCTATTTAGTTTGACTAATCAAAAAGTTTTACGTTATAGTCTATGTGGTAGTCTAAGCCGCTATTTGATTCACATTTTTTCTTACCCTTAATTTTAATTACATATTATTATTATTATTATAAAAAATTTATGAAAATTCCGATTTTTAGTTAAATACAACGAGAGTGTCATGTTAGGTATTTAAATAATCAAATCGATGGACATGATCAAATTATCAATTTGCTTTGAAAGCTTAGCCGTTGCTTGAGCTCCGTCCTATTAAAATTATTTTTTTTTTCAAATTTATTTTCAATCACACGTTTTTCAATTTAAATAATTGTATACGCAAACTCAAATTTTTTTTAAAAATAATTTTTAACCATATATTTTTTAAAAAATATTAATATAAATAAATAAAATGAGTGGTTGATAAGGAAAGAAAGTTTGGAATAAAGTTAGGTGGTTTCAGTCAAAACCTCCCCCAGCGAATTATGCCAATCTGAACGAAAAATCCGCTAAAATTATATGGGTAAGACCGTAATATCAAAACATACCAGTGGCAAATAATTATCCATCATCTATATAAATACGGCCTCCCGTTCCCAGTCTTCACCTCTCACGAAAAGTTTCTCCTAACAACTCGAAACTCCAATATTAAAAACAGAAATTAACGTGAGCATTTATTTTTCTAGGGTTTCAATTCTCTTCTTCAACAATACGCCGCATTCATATTTCTGTAAGCGTCTTTTATTTATTTTAAATGAAACTTTATCTTTTGATTATGTATGAATGAGAACAGAATTGTCTGATTTGTGTTGTATTGTATTGTTGTTTGTAGGGATTATTGAAGGCCGATTCTGATTCTTGAGGGATTATTTGGTTTTAAATTTTAAATATTGATATAGTAAGTACAATGTTCCTTTTCTTTTTTTTTTTCCCATTTAACGCTTCATGTGATATGTTAATACTTGTGTAGATCAGTAGATCTGTGATTTTTGCTGTTTAGTTGTTGAAATATTGATGTTTGGTTGTTCTATATGTAAGTTCTACAGAGATGGGTTTGAATTCCTCCTGTAAACTTTATTGTAAATATACATACAGAGTTTTTAAATCTAGTGATTCCTGACCATAGATGTGTATATGAATACACGTATATACAGATATATATATAAATATATGTATAGATGTGTATATGTATGTGATGCTCACGTTTCTTATATACCTGGGTTATTTTTTGAATGTGGGTGGGATTTTTCTTTTACATTTCTTTCTGGTAAAGAAAGATGGTATTATACATCGATTATGAATTTGTCTGAGGACATGGAAAGATATAAAATCTAAATTTGCATTTAAGATGTTAGTCATAGGGTGGTTTGATTTATACCCTCCATTGATTCAGTCAGAAAATTTTTATTCAGTTGATTTGAAAATTTAATAGTGATTGACAATCACTTTTGGTTGTCAGACGTTTAGGCAGGCTAAAACTCTTGTGAGGATTATACTTCTAATAGTGAAATGTTTGTGACTTTCTTATGATTTGTTTCAATTCTTTTTGAAATTGAGAATAGGTAGTCCAGTAGTGTATTCTTTCTTTTTTGGAATCTGTTTGGAATTTTTTCCTTGCGCACTGTCCTATGAGGACATACATGGATGGTGTTGACGCTTTGCAGCTTTTGGTGTTTGCAAGGCAGTTTTTTGTGGTTTTACCTGATAATTCTATTGATTCATCTTATAATTAGTCCTGACTATATAATTCCCTATTGATGATTATGCAGCAAAAAAATTAATGATCTAATGGAGTCTAAAGGTGGGAAGAAGTCTAGTAGTAAATCCTTATCATACGAAGCACCCCTCGGATACATCATTGAAGACGTTCGACCAAACGGTGGCATCAAGAAGTTCAGATCTGCTGCTTACTCTAACGTAAGTTTTTGCTTTCCAACTATGAAAGCTTCTGATACTGACGAGTTCTCAAATTTTAACAAAATGCACTCTTCTCATGCTGAAATTTCTATTTTCTCTTTTGCAGTGCGCTCGCAAACCATCCTGATATTCCTCAACTAGTGTTCTGATCACGTCGTTTGACGTGTTAAAAGTGTAGTGATAGTAGATTTAATTTTTTGTTTGTCCGCGCGCTCCTTTTCTTCATTCTTCGACTGCATTCTTGTTTGCTCTCTTCATTTCTCTAAAAAAACATTGTTCGTAGAAATGGCTTTGTCCGTCTCTGCAATTGGTTTTGAAGGTTTTGAAAAGAGGCTCGAAATCTCATTTTTTGAGCCGAGCATCTTTGTTGATCCTAAAGGGAAGGGTCTTCGATCACTTTCCAAAGCACATTTGGATGAGATTCTTGAACCTGCTGAGTGCACCATTGTTTCTTCACTTTCGAATAAATCTGTTGATTCATACGTCCTCTCTGAGTCGAGCCTTTTTGTTTATCCTTACAAGATAATCATCAAAACCTGTGGGACAACAAAGTTGCTACGATCGATCCCACCTATACTGAAGTTGGCTGGCTCCCTCTCTCTTTCATTGTGTGCCGTGAGATATACGCGTGGGAGCTTCATTTTCCCTGGAGCTCAGTCTTATCCCCACCGCAACTTCTCGGAAGAAGTTGCTATCCTAGATAGCTATTTTGGGGAACTTGGTTCAGGCAGCAAGGCTTATGTTATGGGCAGTTACGAGAAACAACAAAAGTGGCATGTTTATTCTGTCTGTGCAGGATCAATTGAATCTCTTAACCCTGTTTACACATTAGAGATGTGTATGACTGGTTTGGATAGAGAGAAGGCTTCTGTGTTTTACAAGAGCGACTCGAGCTCTGCAACTTCGATGACCAAGACATCCGGTATAAGAAAAATCCTCCCCAAGTCTGATATATGTGACTTTGAATTTGAGCCTTGTGGTTATTCCATGAATTCCATCGAAGAAGCTGCAATTTCTACTATTCATGTTACACCAGAAGATGGGTTTAGTTATGCAAGCTTTGAAGCTGCTGGTTACAATTTGAAAGATGTGAATCTGAGCCTGTTGATTGAGAGGGTTTTAGCATGTTTCCGTCCAAAGGAGTTTTCTATTGCTGTGCACGCTGACATTGGTGCTACGTTATTTGATGGCATTTACTCTCACGACCTGAAGGGTTACTCTGTCATTGAGGAATGCCATGAAGAGCTGGGATTTGGCGGTTCTATCCTCTACCAGAAGTTTGGTCAGACTGCGTATTGTGGGTCTCCGAGGTCCATTCTGAAATGTTTTAGCGATGAGGAAGAAGAAAAGGAGTAGCGTCTAATAATATGTTTTATGGGTTTGCTGTTATTGTGTTTCTTAGTATCACTACTGTCTTTGAATCTTGTTTGGTTTTTAAACTTCTACTGTGTGTTTTAATTGTCATTTGACATGTTATCTTGAGGTGGTTGTTGCTGAATAAATTGTGAACTGTTTTGTTGGTATTGGTATTCTTGTCGTTTTAAAATATATGTTGGTAGTAATATTTCATTCGTCTTACCAAAAATTAAATCTCAATAAATACATAAGATAATGATTTTGTTCAAGTTAGGGTGCAAGGAAATCAAAGAATATTAATTAGTTACACGTAGAAGTTTATAATACAAATTCTGGAAGTTTTTTTACTTAACGACTGTTAAGTATTTACCAGAATTAAGATTAATCTGTGAAAGTAAGTTTGGCTTTAGGGTAATGGAAATCAGTTGGATGGTAATGGTTGGATGATTAACTCCCAAGTGTCTTGTTTTTTGCGGTATTCAAAGTAATTATTTAATTAATATTTATGGTTACTAGAAATATTTCTTTTAGAGAAATAGTAAAATCAGTGTTTTAAAAAGTAATCATCTCCTGTCGACTGCCTAATCTGTTCCTTATATTATTTAGTTTCTTTTTTGAAATTTGAATCTTAAATCTTAGGGTGTGTTTGATTGCATTTATTTTTCATGAAAAATGACAGTTTTTCACCCAAATTTCTATTTTGAATTATTTGATTACTATTTTTTTTCATGAAAAATATTCTTCAACTTTTAAAAATATACCTAGAGGCTGTCTTGTGAAACTTTTTCCATCCAAAAGAATTGATTTTTGTACCGTTAACAGGAAAAATAGCAGCCCTTTTTGACCAGCTGTGAGACAAGTGGGGCCCAAGTTTGAATAGTTAACGGTTTAAATTTCAATTTTTAGTTCTCCCAAACAAGCCCCTAATTTTCCTTGTTTTTAAGGAAAATATTTTCTTTGAGAGGGAAAAAAGTAGGTTTTTATTTTCCTCAAAACAAGGAAAATATTTTATTTTCTAAAATATATTTTCCATATCAATCAAACACACTCTTCAGTTTTGAGTTTATTTTCAATTTTTTTTATTTTGAAGGTCTATTTTAAAATTGTTAAAAATGTGTTTGATTTGTCATCTTGAAAATTTATTTCTCAAAACAGAAAACCAGAAACACGTTTGATTTGAAATTTTAAAAAAATTGTTCTATGGAGTTTTACACCATGAAATTTGATTATTCAGTAAAAATATAACAATTTTATGATAATATATTACCAAGTAATATATACATTTTAAAGTTGTTGGATCTTACAGTATTTTTTATCGCTTCAAAAGTAAAATAAAAAAATAAATAAATTGAATTCAAAATATATGAAATAAAAATAAAAATTATTAACGTGGATTGAGAATAATTTATCTATATTCATTTAAATATTTTTTTTTATAATTTTTATGTAAATAATCGTTAAGAGCTTGAATTATCTTTATTTTTTTTTTCATATTTTTTGTTTTTATAGTGTTTTTTATAATTTTTTTTTTGAATTTTTGTTTTTTATATTTTAGAATTTTATTTCAAAAGAATTTATCAACTTTGTTCTGTGAATTTTTTTTAGAATTTTAATTATTATTTTTATAAAAATTAATTTTATAATTAAATTAAATGAAATGAAATTTTATTTAAACATTTGTTTTCCATGTTTTAAGTATTTTCAAAATTTTTACTGAAAACACTCAAAACAACAAAAATGTGCTTTAAGTTTTATGTTATAAATTTCTCCTTATTTTCGAAAATGCATTTTCAAAAATAGTAAACCAAATATGTTTTCAGTATTTTGCAAAACTGAAAGCAACTTGAAAAATGCAAATCAAACGCACCTTAAGTCTTTTAAGACCTTTAAATCCTAACTATTCAAAAGGAAAAAAAGGAAATTTGAACCTCTTGAAATAAAATCCGCTCTACCATAACTTCTGTATGAAGCCTCTTCTTAATATTACTAGTAAAATGCACGTGCAGCGCACGTGCCATAATATAGTTGGCTATATGGTAGCATATATATAAAAAAAAATTATGTGTCTTAAGCATTAATTACATTAAACTTAAAACACTTGAAATGATAATAGGTGACAAAAATAATATTAAAAGATTTGATTCAAAGCTTATTTTCTAGATTTTGCGTTTGAAGGTCTCTCTGTTCTTTTTAAAAAAAGACAGGGCATAGTTGATTAGGTGTTGATACCCTGCTAAAGAATGAATGAAATTCAACCTAGCCCTCCCTTTTTCTACCTATTGAGGTAAGACATTATGTCTCCTTCATCTCGTGCTCATAGAATCTACAATTACATGTATCAGTTGCACCAATATTTAATTTCTTTACCAAAACCATACAAGATGTATGTAGTTAAGACTAATTAATTAATTGATAATACAGTGCAGAATTTAGGACAAATCAAGGGTCTCTATTAGTATTAAAACCACAACACAGCGAAAACTTCCATCGTAGAGGCAAAAAGATTAACAAACGATCACTTAACTTCATCAATTCCATCGAATATCTTTTCAGCATATTCTAATAATACTGTATATTAAATCCATTTTTAAGAAAAATCAAAATAATCCACTTCATAGAAGATGTTTGTCTACCAACACTGTATGAAGTAGGATGATTCTTCTGAAAATATTGAGTTCCTTCAATATCCATTCTGACGTCATAAATTTATACTTTTTAACCGACCCAATAAAGTTAGCCAAATCACTAAATTAAGAAAGCCCACAACCATAAAAATCACAGCATAAATTTCAAGAGATTTATCAAAATCTCGTGGGTCAAAGCAGTAAACTGGAAGCACATATAATAAAACATGTACTCACTTTTGAAACTATTACCACAACATTCTCTAATTATTGAAATATAGTCGCATTAATAATATCAAATCTAAGTAGTATATATCCAAAATATTTATCAATATCACATATTCTCGTATTCTAAATCTAGTAACATGCTTCCAAATAACAAGCACAATAGATTATTAACCATAACTACATGACAGAAAGAATATCATTTCAGAGTAGCAAGTGTTTTTTCCTTTCTAATTATAAAATTCTTAATTTGTTTTAGACATAATAATTGAAAGAAAAATATAATTCCAATTTACTTCAACTAAAAATTTCTATATAATTTGCAAGCGAGTAAATTATAAACAAAGATAGCAATAATTCCCATAAAAAAAATAGCAATAATTCTCATATATTTATCATAGCCGCATTTCAAGATTTCAAAGGAAAATTGAAAAGCATGATTTTATGTTTAATAATTCATGCAAGATAATTTTTGTTATTTAAACTTTATTAATCATATATTTATCAC